AGATTTTATTTATTTATTTTTAGAGAGGGGAAGGGAAGGAGAGAGACATAACCAGTTGCCTCTCTCATGCCCCCAACCAGATACCTGGCCCACAACCCAGGAATGTGCCCTGACCAGGAGGAATTGAACCAGCAACCTTGGTTTGCATGATGACACCCAACCCACTGAGCCACACCAGTCAGGTCAGAAGGAGCATTTTCTTTTTTTTTTATGTCAGCTTTTTTTTTTAAAGATTTTATTTATTTATTTTTAGAGAGGGAAGGGAGGGAGAAAGTGAGAGAGAGAGAGAGAGAAACATCAGTGTACGGTTGCTGGGGGTCATGGCCTGCAACCCAGGAATGTGCCCTGATTGGGAATTGAACCAGCAACCCTTTGGTTTAGCAGCCCATGCTCAATCCACTGAGCTGTACCAACCAGGGCTGAAGAAGCATTTTCAATTAAACTTTTCCTTTGCATGAGAGCTTTTCATTTTATTGTTTAACTTCCTAGTTATATTTTAAAAATCTCATCAGTGTTCACAATTGGAACCATTTTTTTTTCTTCAAAAAGTTTTTGTGAAGTTTTCTTCCTTCAGAAAGTTTTACTTATCATGGACAGGCCTTATGTGACAGGCTGAAATGTAGAACTGAACTGACGGGGCCTTTGACCTTGACAGTTCCCTGGAGTGGGGTGGTGGGAGTGGGCACTCTTCCTCAGGGAGTGGCCCAAAGGCTCTGTTGAAGGGGGAGGCAGTTCCACCTCCAAAGTGCGAAAGAGCAACCAAGACCTCAGGCCAAAGAAAGAGTAATAAGTCTTATTTTATTTGGCATGATTGTGAGACAGAAATTCCTGGCTAATTAAACGTTTTGATTACTAGGGACTTTATGATCCATCTGGGACATAGTTCACCAGGTTTGGAAGGGGTAATACACACTCACCTTTAAAATTATATCCCGCAGACTTTCATTTGACCTTGATGCTGACCAGGGCACTTCCAAGACTTTGGATGAGAGAGTGTGGTCAGTGTGGCAGGAGAGATGCAGTGGGAAGAAGACTCGATGGGAAGGCTGTGAATTTGAAACTGAGGACGCTGCTTCAATGACCGTGGCAATTTTGCTGTATGGACAGACGTGATGACGGCTGTGTTTTGGAAAGATTAATCTGGTCATGATGTTCACAAAGACTGGAGAGGTGAAGAGGTTAAAGCAAGAAGGGCTGGGAAGCATCAAGTGACCGTGCTGACGTCGGAGACCATGAGGAAAAGACAAATTGGGGTTGTTTTGGTGTCCAAGTATAGGACACAAATTCCAGAGAGAGGGGAAGAGGGGAGCGGGGAGATGAGGATTCTGAAACTAGTTTCTTAGGAGTTTGACCCTTGGGCCGTGTGAGAAAGGTCCTGGCTTTAGAGGCTCCCAGTCTGGCCGTGCCCTAGCTGTGACCTTCCCTAAGGGTGAGGACTTTGGACGTCCATTTGGATGTTGAGGATACAGCCACCCCTTTCTAGACTATGCTAGGTGTCTGAGAACCAGAATTCACTGTCTAAATACCTCAGCCCATGTCCTGGGCTGCACAGGCTCCTTCCCTGGGCCCATTCTCCAAGGGTCAATGGCATCGCTTGTGTGCATACCCCTGGGCCTGGGTGCTAGCCAAAGAAGAGCTGCTTGTGGATTGAACTTCAGCTTCCTGGCTGCAGTGTCCCCATGCAGGCATGCATGACTCCTCACAGTGCAGGATGGAGTCAGAGGTGGGAAGAAACTAGGGGCCAGCCCTAAGCAGAGGCTGGGCCATGTCTTCCAGTATTACCAGGTTCAGGCATGGACTCTATGAGTCTGAGAGTTCTAAAGGTCCTGGCTTCCAGGTCATCCTTACAAACACACATTAGTAAGGTAGGAAGATAGACATTTTATTCAGTAGCCTATTGGCTTGGTTTATAACTTTTATTTTTAAGATTTTACTTATTTTTAGAGAAAGGAAGGGAGGGAGAAAGAGATGGAGAAAAAAAATTGATGTGAGAGAGAAACATCAGTCAGTTGCCTCCTACACGTGGCCCAGTCAGGCACCTGGCCCACAAACCACGCATGTGCCCTGATGGGGCATCGAACTGGTGACCTTTTGCTTTGCAGGATGATACCCAACCGAGCTACAGTGTTCAGGCCTCCTTTTTATTCTCATAATGGTGTCTTTTAATGAGTGAAATTTCTTAATTTAAAGCTGCCTATTTATCAGGTTTTTCCTTTATTTTTAGAGACTTTTGTATTCTTTCTAACAAATATTTACCTAGTGTAAGATCACAAAGGTTTTTCTTCTGTTTTCCTTTAAAAGCTTTATTGCTTTGCCTTTCACATTTAGAAGCATTAGATCACAATGAATACCACTGATTTTATGTGAGGTATAAGTTGAGATTAATCTTGTCTTCCAATGGATATCCATTGGCCCAGCTCCATTTATCAAAAAGTTCATCCTTTCTCCCACTGATGTCACCTCTATTGTGAATCAAGTGACTATAGATGTGGGTCTCTTTTTATTGGTCAATTTGTCTCTCCTTGTGCCAAAAATCATACTTTCTCAACTACTGTAGCTTTGTAGTTAAATACTATGTTTTATAAGTCTTGATATTTGATAGTGTAAGTCCTCCAATTTTCTTTAAGAATGCCTTTGCTATTCTTGGTCTTTCGCATTTCTATATAACTTTTGAATTGCTGTGTCATTTCCTCAAATAGCCCTGCCGACATTTTGTTTGGGGTTGCACTGATCTATCGGTCACTTTGGCAACAGCTGACAGCTTAACAATTCTGAGTCTTCCCATACATAATGCACATGGTATAGGCTTCCATTTATTTGGCTTTAAACACTTCTCTCAATTACATTTTGTTGTGTTCAGTGTAGGAATTGCAGTTTTCATTAGTTAATCAACATGTTGTACACCTTAACCAAATATGAAATATGTCAAAAATATCTCAGTTTTAAAAGCTGTATTACTTAATTTCCAGGCAGCTTAATTCCACTGAGGTCAGAGAAAGTATTCAAAATTTGATCCTTTGAAATCTGTTAAGGCTTTCTTTGTGTCCCAGCATATAATGAGTCTTAGTACGTTTCTTAAATCCTTTGGTTCCACTATTGTTATTGGCTGCATGTCCTGTCTCCAGGAGAAGGAGATGGCATGCTCGAATTCTAAGGTCCAGACTAGGGAGAGGTGCACGTCACTTTGTTCATGTTCTGTTGACAAGAACTTGCATGCCCACATGGCAGGGCCCAATGCAAAGCAGATGGCATGCTGAATTCTTACAAGGTCTTCCCTCCGTAAGATTTTAAGAGAGCTGCAGTCTTCCACTGCAGTCTTCCACTGCAGCCCATACAGTTTTCCAGCTAAGCAACTCCAGTTGGAAACCAAAAAAAAGTTTCTCTTTATAGCTCTGGTAGAAAAATTCCAAAGAAAATCAGACTGGCCAGATTTGGATCACTTTTCCGTGTTAACCAATCATAGTAGCAAAGGAGGTGGAGTAGTCCCTCCTGTTACACCCAGCCTAGATCCCACAGACCCACTGCACAGGGAGGAAGCCAAGCACTGCTCCAGACTCTTATCCCCAGGGAACAGAGGGTTGCCTGGCTGGAGCATGTTAAGCACCCCACCACTTCTGAGCCGTCCCCATTTCTTCTGCAGAAAGTTTACCACAGCCAGTGTCTGTCTTCAGATGGTGGCAGAGCAGGAAGCCCCTGGGGAAAGCTGACACCTTCCCACCCCGGAAAACACAGGCAGAAATGGGAGAAAGAAGGACACCTTTATAATATTCGAGGTAGATACCTGCATACAGGATGCTCAGGACAACACAGAGAGGCACCAGAATGTTTTTTTTTCTGTGAAGAGTAAAGAGGTGAGGAGACTGCCTGATGTGGGTGATTGATTTATAGAAGGAGGGTAGAAAGTTTCTCTGTTCCTCAAATGCACCAAAAATTCGAAGGGACTTTAAAAACCCCTCACTGACGAACAAAATAAAAACAGAGACATGGCTACATGGGCCAGCTGGACATGTATCAGAAGGGAGGGTACTGGGGAGTGAGGGGACTGGAAGAAATTAGCCAAAGAACATGTATGCATACTTGCTTAGCCTATGGACACAGACAACAATGTGGTAAATAAAGGGCAGAGGGGCGGAGGCTGGGTTTAGGAGGACAAAATTAGGGAAAATGGGAGACATCTGTAATCGAGTCAACAATAAAAATAAATAAATTTTAAAAATAATAAAGAACCACTTTCCCACTCAGAAGGGGAAATCAATGTCCGAAAAAGGGAAAGTGACGGCCCAACACCTGTCTGTCGCGGGCTCCTGGGGCTTGTACAGAAACCAGTCCTATAGAAAGACCTAAAGTCAACCCCGCTGAGCGCCACCCAGAGGGTCTCAGCAAGTGAAAGTAGTCTCGACCTCAATGCACCACAGCCGCCAGAACGCTCCGCGGGTTCCTCGTGATCCAAGAGCAGGAAAAGAAAGGAAGCACATCTTGAACACAGCTCGGGCCTCAAAATTTTTGTTTGTATTCACAAAATGTCCCTTAAATATAGTAGGTGGAAAAATCGCCCTTCTGTTTGTATCCCCGCTCCCCCACGCCCTGCCAGCTATAACCTTGAGCTCGGGCGGACGCAGTCCAGGCCCGAGTCCCTCTCCAGCGCACCTCCCCGCGCCTCTGCAGCCCGAGCTGGGACTCACAGAGCCCTGCGGCTCCGCAGCTGTGCCGGATCGCGGGACGCGGGTGGGGCCGCGCAGGCGGGGACTCCTGACACAGGCGGGGCGGGACGGGACGGGACGCGGGGCGGGGACTCTGGTGACGCTGGAGGGAGGAGCGCAGGCTTGTGCAAGGGGTGGGGCCTGTGCGCCGGGCGGGGACGCGGTGGGCGGTGTCGCGGTGACCCAAGCCTTTGCAGCAGGGCCCTGGGGAATTGGGAACGCGCGGGGCTGGGCGGCTGGGACGCGGCGGGAACAGGACCCTGGGGGAGCGGGGACGCGCGGAGGCGGGGCGTGGTTGGAGTTCCCAGTCCTGCGCGCAGGGCGGAGACCCTGGTGACGGGGCCAGGACCCAAGGACCCGGGCTTCTGCGAAGAGCCGGCGGGTTCCACGAGGAGCTGGTCTGGTCCCTGCGCCCGGCCCCGGCGGCCTAGCCATGTTCACTTTCGTGGTTCGCGACGAGAACAGCAGCGTCTACGCCGAGGTCTCCCGGCTGCTGGTCGCCTCCGGCCACTGGAAGAGGCTACGGCGGGACAACCCCAGGTTCAACCTGATGCTAGGAGAGCGGAACCGGCTGCCCTTCGGAAGACTGGGTGAGCGTCCCCGTTCCCGTCCGCACCCCGCCCCGGGGCCGGCTAGAGCCAGCGCTTTTGTGTTAAGGCCACGGATCTTTCCCCCGTCACTCCTCCGGCGGGTAAGACACGGATCCCTAAAGGCCTAAACCATCGTTCTTAATGTCTCTGGTCTTCGGAATCGGATTCGGACCCGAGTCACCGCGCGGCCCCGGGTTCACGGCCCACAGCCCGCGAGCCGACGCTCCCATCCTTGCGCCGCACACCCCGCCCCCTCCATCCCAAGGCCCGGCGCCCTTCCTTCCGAGGTCCGATGTCTCCCATCCCCGGGCCAGGCGTCCCTTCTGCCCATCCCCAGTCCCAGGCCTGATGCCCCCCACGCCTGGCCGACGCCCGGATCAGGCAGGTCCGCAGGCCGAGCGCGGGGCGGGAAGGCTCCAAGAAGCCGGGCCCGGGGTGATATCTGGCCGGAAGATTGCTCCCGGCCTGGTGTGGGCGCGGGAGGGGCACTTGTGTGTGGTGAAAACCCCGAAGATTCAGCTCCCCCAAGGCTCAGATAAACCGCCAGGGGACTTGGAAAAGATCTGGATTCCAAAAGCAGGAGTTTCGGAAGGTCTGGGGACTTGTGATTTCAGACCACTCTTTAGCTTCACCAAAGAAAGTGTGTGTTCACAATTGTGGGTTCACAATGAGGTGCTGCATGCAGATTTTACACGACGCTGGGTTCACCCTCTACCCTGTTTACTTCACATGGTTGGAGCTGGCTTAGCACCACCTGGTGCACGTGGCCTTCTGTGGGAGGGCGGTGGGGGTGCGGAGCGCTCGCACTGCTCTTCAGATGACGTAATCCAGAAGTTGAGCAGGGGCTTCAACTACCCTCCCACGGACCTGAAGGTAGCCTCCGCGCGTCTCTTCGTTGCGCAGTCACGGGACGCGCAGCCTCGGCCCTGACAGCCGTGTTCCCTGCCAAAATTCCCTGGGGTAGGGGCCTAATTGCAGGCCAAAGACCCAAGCAGAGAATCGGTAATGAAGAAGAGCCATCGTGCCCTGGAGGGCAACCAGACAGAGCAGTGTTCTGTGTCCAGGAGAGGAAACAGTTTCTAGAAATAGGTGTGGCAGGGGTGGGGAGGTTGAAGGGGCAGGGGCTGAAAACCTACTGGCTCCTGTGAGCTTAGAGCCTTTGAAGGGAGAGCGTGTGCCGTGGGGTAGTGTGGGGAGTGGAGGGTGTGGCGGCACAGCCTTACTGGAATCTTCTTTGGGATGGTACCGGGAACCTCTCTTGACGGTTATACACGGTTATGACGCATGGTGGGGTTGGCTCTAACCCCCCAGAAATCCTGGAATACAGGGGACTTGCCTGAGATCCCCTTTTGTTAACTTTCTCCCCAAGAAGCCCTCCCCCTCCACAGAGAACACCTTCCCTCAAAGAAGAAAATCCGCTTACCTTTGGGAACATTTCCTCCTTGCTCCGTCCACTTCCCAGCCTGTCTGACTTCCTTCCTCTTTGTAGTGCTTGGCTGTAAAAGCTTAGATGGCCTCCTAGCACTAAAAACAGAAATGGCTCTGGCAGGGTTGTAGCAGGGTCGATGGCCTTGCTGTGGCAGTCAGGACTAGGACGAAGGAGCAGAAACCACCCGGCAGGTCTAGACCTCAACAGGCCCCACAAAGTCGGCAGATGAGCAGTAAACACTTGGTGTGTGTGGGAAAAGAAGCCGCATCCCATCAGCAAAATAGTTTCATGCCTTCACTGCATACATATTTAGCTTTTGTTTAAAGTGCACCATGGGGATCCCAAAGAGAAATCAGGTAAAGGGTCAGGATGCCAGGGCCACAGGTGAGAAGGTAGGCAGCCCAGGTGTGAGCCAGGAAGCTGGTGACAGCCAGGAAATGCTTGAAACTTTCTATCCGCTTGTCTACTGTTCTCAGGTGAATTAGTCTTACCTTCAAACTCCCTTTGTTTGGCTTTGTGCTTTCATTGCTGGGAATTCAATGCATTTTTTTTTAGGATTTTAAACAAAAATGTAGACTTTTGTTTTTATTTGTATCTTTTCTGCTCTAATTTTATGGAGCAGGGGACTTGCCATAAGATCTACTGAAAATCAGTTTCCTTGTGGAGTAATGCACAGAAAAAAGTCTGCTGCCTTCCCTTGCCTTCTGGTGGCTTTCTTTCAAGCCTGCAAACACAGATATGCTGGAGAACAAGAAGCATCAATTCTGCTGCCTTCCCTGATGGCTATAGGGAACAAGGCTTGGGAGGTCAGGGCATGACTCCGCTGAAGTCCTAACTGTACAGAGGTAACTCACAAGTCAGTGTGTTAAGCCAGGAAGGGGTACAGTGGGCATCTGAGAGAGGTGAAATAGGAAGTAGCCCTCCACCTTAAGAACAAACAGCCCTGGCTTATGTGACTCAGTGGATTGAGTGCCAGCCTGCAAACCAAAAGGTCTCCAGTTTGATTACCAATCAGGGCACATGCCTGGGCTGTGGGCTAGGTCCCCTGTTGGGGGGTGTGTGAGAGGTAACCAACTGACCAGGGTATCTTGCACATCGATGTTTCCCTTTCTTTCTCTCTCCCTTCCCCTCTCTTCGAAAATAAGTAAATAAAATCTTTTTTTTTTAAGAACAAACAAAGGCAGCAGTGGTCTCAGACAGCTCTATGATGTTGATATTATAGTATCCACTATGAGGATACTACGTGTGCCAGTGGAATGCTGAGGCAAGGGGCCATGCAGGCGCAGGGTAGCAAAGTGATTCCTTCTTGAATCACCAGTCCTGAAAGGGAGAGAGAAAGCTGGGCATGACACAGCTGTTCGCTCTCTGTGCATGGGTGCTGGCCGGTTCCCGACCCCTTCTGAGCCTCCCTTTCGTTCACAGGTCACGAGCCTGGGCTGGTGCAGTTGGTGAATTACTACAGGGGGGCTGACAAACTGTGTCGCAAAGCTTCTTTAGTGAAGTAAGTGCTCTTTAAAACCTGTTCTTTTTTTTCATACATGGTGTTAGCTTTCATTGCAAAGCACTTAAGGAAAAATGTGGGGTTATTTCTAAAGGGCAAAAATACTTTTATTTAAAAAGCTGACACATATCAGTTTTGGAGCTTCCTCTGAGCTACTTTGATTACAATCCAGAACTCTGCCACCTAGCACTTGGTGAAGCCTGTCTGTCTCTGAGGCCAGGCTCCCAAACTCGGAGCCTGGGACGGGTTTCTTCTGTGAGTGTTTTACACTCCCGTATCTGTCATCCAGTGATGGTGGTGAGGAGTAAGACATTTCTGGGCACAGCTGGTCCCTGGAGAAGGGACACACACAAGCCCTTGGCAGCCACTCTCAGAGCAGCCAGAGCCCCCTCAGAAAGGACACCTGGTGAGGCATAACCACATCTGCTACACCACCCCCCTCTGCAAAGCTGGGTTTGGTAGGTGTCATAAGAACAGTATCCTAAGACAGAGAAACCATATTATCTGCTGATCTTGTAATCCCAGCTCTTCCTGTTAGTTTAGGCAAATTTCCTCATCCATCTAAGCCTCAGTATGTCCCTCATGGGTAGTGGTGAGGATGGAATGAGGTGATGCATGTGAAGTGTGGGGCACAGGGGTTTATAGTGAGCATTTGACTCTCTTTGCCTTTGTTTCCTTTTCTGTAAAATAGGAATAATAATAGTAAATGTCTCGGGGTTATTGTTGATATTGAATTAATTTATGCAAAGGCTTTGAATAATGCCTGCCTGGCAATTCACACCGTGTAAGTGGAAGTTCTTATTGTTATTACTGTTGTTATGGCCACCACTGCTATTGTTATCATTTCAGTAGGGAAGGCGGGAGTGGCCCCTGAAGTCAGGGCTGCAGCAAGTCCCAGTCGTTTCCCCGTGATGACACTGAAGGCGTGCGTGCAGCCATACCAACCATCCCGGGGAGAAAGCGTGGGAGACATGACTCAGTGCGCCTGCCCTCTCCCCACGCACGTTTCTTTCTGGACTCTAGACATTTACAAGGTGGAGTGTCCATAGGAACGTGCCCTGTTTCATTCAGACTCACTGACCCTAGTGACTTCGTATCCACTTCTCTCAGGGCTGGGCTTTCCTGCTTTGCCAGCTACTCCCAACAGAGACCAGACTTTCTGAAGTCTTCTTCTGATTACATATTTATTATATATTCAGAGCAGAAGCTTTTTTCACTAGAACTAGAAATGAGGCATGATTGTTTATCCAGATTACTCATTTAGAGATTACTATAAAATGCTTATTCAATCTTTTTCCTACTGTGATTTTTTATGTAAAGATAAAAGTAGAATTTTGCTTTTATAAGTAGGAACAGAGGATACTGTAAAATATATCCTATGTATTTGCATATTTAGCAGCTGCAGCGAGGTTGAGTGAGTACAAGACTGGAGTCCTGACCAGGTCTGAGTAGGCAGCTGGTCCCTAGGACCTTGGACAGCGCCATGCTGACACCTCCCCACCCCCCACCCTCCCAAGTGGTCCCTCCGTAAAATGGGATGGTGGTGATCATGCCTGCTCTTTGCCCCTTGGTGGCATGTGACACAGCCTGTGATGTCTTGACTTACACAGCCTGGGGTTGTCCTCACCTTCACAAGTGTCCTTTATTCTCTCAGGTACCGTGAGAGGGACTGTAGTAATTCCAGAAGGTGATGGCTCACTTTGTCATTCTGTCTCCTTCCCATAATTTTGCATGGCTCAAAATGGCTCAGAAAGTTAAAAAAAAAAAGCCATGTTAAATGGCAGCTTGCAGAGGGCAGCTAGATTGCCCAGGGCCATGGCAGTCAGTGCTGGGCCAGGGCCATTCTTGCCTGTGCACAGGGAACCGCGGGCAGTATGCCTGGGCATCACCCAGAGGCTTTGACAAGACCTCACACAGGATCCTGTACAGCAGGCGCCTCCTGCTGTCATTTCAGGAAGAGTCAGAAATTCACTGAGGCCATAGACTCAGAGCCCTGAGGGCTTGTCTTCCGGCTCAGGTTGGAGACTCTTTTCCTCTCAAGAGCATTTCTCCCTTGTAGATGTAAATCTCCATTCATGATTTCTTTCCAAATGGGCTTATGAGGAAATGGGACAAATGCAAGGGACTTCTGTAGAAACTGGTCTCTGTTTTATATAGGAAATGAAGGCTTTCAAATCAAAATTATCCTGTAGGCCAGCGCTGTCCAACAGAAATAGCATGCCAGCCACCTGTGTGATTTTAAATTTCCTAGTAGCCACAATAAATTAGTACAAAGAAACAGGTGCAATGTATTTTAATCATATATTTTATTTAACCAAATAATGAAAAATATCATTTTGACATGTCATTAACATAAACAAATTACATATTTCAGATTTTTAAAAAAATTCTGAGTCTTCAAAATCTGGTGTATATTTTATATTTATAGCACATCTTAATTTAGACACCAAATTTTCATTGCAAACCCCTTGTTTTATATGTAGATTTCATAAAAATTTATGCTTTAAAAATTACTTGTATGCTCAAGTTGTTCCCACCTATGTAAGAAATTTTCAATAACTGAATTGAATACCCAAAATCATTGTCCTTTAATAATCACATGTACATTGACAAAACAGGTTCATTTTATTAGAAGAATTCACTTGGCTTTAAAGCAAAATCATATATCATTTTTAAACTATATCCAAGTAAAGTAAATCCACCAACTCTTGTGTTAACTCAGTGGTACTATTGTCAAATTCAAAAGGGTATTGAATAAACTGAAAAGAAACTCCAAATTTATTAACACTACCCAAGTGTTCTTCAAAAATTTCCTTAGTTTTTGCAGCCAGTTTGCTGTCTGTTACAATTAAAATCTTCTGCACATTAAGTCACATTATACGAAATTTTGTAAAATCATTATTGTGGACTTGTATTATAAACTTGGAACATAAACTTTCATACCTGTCTGACTGGGTCATAAATAAAGTCTTCTTTTCCCTTCCTCAGAGCTTTAAAATTAGCTTGTTTGTAGCGGTGTGAGAGTTGCACTGCCAGTTGCAATCTTTGATAATTGAGTGAAGTGTGAATTACTGAAAATAATGATTTGTCAAGCATTCTTTTTATTTCAAGAAAACCTGAGCTGGAATGAACTGTACACTAAATCTTTGCAAAACTCTCCATCTGACTATCCTTTGCAAAGAGTACAGCATCATTAAACATTGTCTTCTGTTTCTTGTAGCAGTTCTGTATTTGCAAGTATATACTGAACTATTTTAACAACTGTATCCATGATGCTTTCCATGGAGTGTGCTTCAGAAAACCTAGGTCAGATGTTTCCAAGATGTATCAGACAGTAGAAAGAAGCAATAAAGGAAATATCAGTCTTTTAAAAAATCCCAGTGAATCCAATTTTAACTCAGCCCAGCTGGAATACTGTCTGTTGTGATAGAAACTGATGTTTCGAAACACGTAGGTGAAACTCTTCTTTGACAGGTGTAAAAGATCAAAAACTAGCTACACAATGAGTTTGATATTTTGTAGACTGCAATTTGACAATATTTTTTCATATATTTGCAAATCCTTTGAGGGAAATACACCCAAAGCATACTCGGGTGCATCTCTTCTGTCACACCATTCATCTAGAGTGAATGTTTTTAATTTTCAAGTTTTGAATAAATCTTTAATATTGTTAGAAGTGTTATGTGCTCTATGGGCAATTACTTAACTGGCTGAACTAAATTTGTTCACTTTTTGTAAAAAGTTTTTTTAGTATTTTCCTCAAAATAATTTCTTTTACCACATTTCCATCTGAAATGATTTTCTTTTTGTGTGTAGAATCCAGGCCATTTTATACCTGACCAAAGTTGCAAGCACAGATTCTATTAAAAATTTGTTTACATTTTTTTGCTGAATCACTTAATTTATTTAATTTGAATTTCAGCCACTAATTTCACTGATTCTTTTTTGACTGTTGAGAGGGAGATGCTTATCAAATTTATTATGCATTTGCTGAAAATGTCTCCTATACACAGTGAGGTTTGTTCTGAGAGTAGAACAATGAATTGTGGACAACCACAATGAATTGTAGTTGTTACCATTTCTCCCATTGCTCTCTCCCACCCTGCCCATCCCTCTCCCCCATATGCAGTCCTCCCCCATTGTCCTTGTCCACGGGTCCTTTATACATGTTCAGTGCCTATTTTTTAACTAAAAAAACAATTATATTTCACTTCAGTTACCAATTATGATTTACCTAGCTATCACTGTAACTCTTGCTGCCTGCATAATAAGCACATTATAATGTTTCATAAGTGCATGGAAAAACCCACGGGGACTGAATCGATCTATTGTCCCTGAGTGGAACAGTGACGTGTCTATGTGTGCTGCCAGAACAACAGACGCACCGGACATGCATGCTGCGATGCAGCGAAAATGGCTTAGGTTCTCCAGTGCTGAAAGTGCAATGTCCTCCTACCAAAACAAGGAAGTTGTGCTATGGACAAATATGTTCTGTTTTAGTCTTTAAATTAAAACTTAACTAGATTTAAAATTCAGTTCCTGAGTCATATTGGCCACATTTCAAGTGCTCAGGAGCTGCATGGGGCTAGTGGCCACCCTACTGGACAATGCAGATAGGGTTGGACATTCAGTGAATTCGAAATGTATTTGTCTGTTCCTTTGAGTTCAAGTAACTCAAATCCTGTTGTCTTTAACTTTAAAATAACTTTGTTTTCAATCTCACTTGTAAATTCCTTTTCATTATTTCTGCCATTTGCTCACAGACTGGGTTTTGCCGGTGAACCTTAACACAGACTTAATATGAACAGTCTACAGAAGAGGGAGCCCAGCTTGGGCCAGGCCCGTGAATGTCTTTGGTTCCTCCCTGGCTCTGATCCCTAGGGAGCGAGGGTCAGTGCAGAGGCAGGACTTGGGATTTAGGGACTTGCATCCTGCCCGAGTCTTACTACCTTCATAGTATTGGGGGACATACTTACTTCTCTGTAACCCAGTGCCTGATCCATGGAATGGGGTGCTGGTGCCTCCCTTGGGGGGACCAGCTGGAGAGTAGACATGGTGGGAAGCCCTTTATAAGCCCTGCTGTTTATAAAGTGCCTTGCCCAGAGCCTGACTTTATCTTCTGTCATGTCATGTTATTTTTTGGGGGGGAGGAGGGCGAGGACAGGAGGTACGTTTAGTTATGACCACTGGAGTCCTGTGTTCCATTAGAAAGATTCCTCTTTTAGTCTGTCTTGAAGCCAGGAAGGTGTTGGCTCAGGATTATTTCAAGTTAAGTTTCCTTGGAGATGCATTTTGAAAAGCACTAGGTTCTGGACATTAGGTCCCTTTGAACCAGCTGACACAGGCCTGTAAGGTTGCGTGGACAGCTATGTGCACCCGATAGTGCATTGCAGGTCGGCCCAGGGAGGCCAAGAGCAAAGACTGGGATGAGAAGGAGACCAGCCCCTGGCCCCCGTTATACCCAGCCTCCTTGGCGAGCTCTGGAGGTAGCGCAGCCTTTTCTGGATAGAGGGTCAGAGTGCTAAGAAGGGAGATTGACCCTCTGTCATGTTCCAGGCTAATCAAGACAAGCCCAGAACTGGCCGAGTCCTGCACATGGTTCCCTGAGTCCTATGTGATTTATCCCACTAATCTCAAGACGCCAGCTCCTCCTGCACAGAATGGAATTCACCCACCAATCCCTAACTCAAGGACAGACGAAAGGGAATTCTTCCTGGCTTCTTATAACAAAAAGAAGGAAGATGGAGAGGGCAACGTTTGGATTGCAAAGTCATCTGCTGGTGCCAAAGGTGAGTTGGCACCGTTGTCCCTACCTCCTGTCTCTGTAGGTTCCCAGTACTTGGTGCAATTGTATGCTGACTTTTAATGATATATTTGTCTTTATTGATTTTAAAGAGAGGGGAAGGGAAAGAGAGAAAAAGACAGAAACATCAATTTATTATTCCACTTAACTTGTGCACTCACTGGTTGATTCTTGTATGTGTTCCAACTGGGGATCAAACCTGCAACTTTGGCATATCGAGATGATGCTCTAACCAACTGAGCTATCCAGCGAGGGCTGGTGATGTATTCAGATGACTGAATCTTCTAATCTGAGTCCTTGAGGGTAGATAGCACATCTAGTTACATAGTCTTAAATATTTATCTACATACTAATGACTCATACATGTACATCTACATATGTGTACATCTCCAGTGAGGTCTTTCCCTGTAAGCTCCAGATCCAGTTGCATCACTTTTGGACACTTGTCCCAGAGAAATGAAAACATGTCCACACGAAGCCTATATGTGATTGTTCACAGCAGCTTTATTCATAATAGCCCAAAACTGAAAACAACCCAGAATTCCTGGGTTGATTAGCAAACTTTGAATGATTACGGTGAATGATTAAGCAAACTTTGGTGAACTGATACCACAGAATACTACTCGGCACTAGAAGGGAATGAACTATTGCTAAAAGCAGCAACTTGAATGAATCTCCAGGGATTTATGCAGGGATTTGTGAAAAAACTGATTCCCAAAGGTCACATACCATATAATCCTATTTTTATGACATTTCTGGAATGACAAAACTATAGAAATAGAGAGCAGATTAGTAGTTGTCAGGGAGGTGGTGTGGGGAGGGAGGCAGCTGTGGCTTTAAAAGAGCAACGTGAGGGTCCATGCAGTAATGGAGTTGTGTACAATGGGAGAAGATGCTTGCAAATCATATCTCTTATAAGGCAGCTGCATCCAGAATGTATATAGAACTCTTATAACTCAATAATAAAAAGACAAATAATCCAAATTAAGAAGTGAGCAAAGAATCTGAATAGAAATTTCTCCAAAGAAGACAAACAACTAAGCCAATAAACACATGAAAACATGCTCAACATTATTAGTTATTAGGAAAATACCAATCAAAGTCACAATGAGGTACCACTTCACACCCACTGAGATGCCTGTGATCATGTAGACAGATAATAGCAAGTGTTGGCAGGCATGTGAAAAATTGGAACTCTCATATATTGGGGGAATGTAAAATGGTGCATCAGTTTTGGGAAGCAGTTTGATAGTCTCTCAAAAAGTTAGACATAGAATTACCAGATTATTCCACTCCTAGGTGTAACTCCCCAAAGAATTGAAAACATATGGGCACATAAAACTGTGTAAATTTTCATAGCAGCATTACTCATCAGAGCCAAACAAGAGTGGAAATAACCTAACTGTCCATCAGTTATTTGGTGAATGGTTGAGCAAAATGTGATCTAACCATACGATGGAATGATATTCTGTCAGACAGAGGCATGAAGCACTGACATGTGCGACAGTGTGGATGAACCTGGAAAACAGGGTGGTCGGTGAAAGCAGCCAGACACAAAAAGGCCACATGCTTGATGATTCCACTTATATGAGACATCTAGAGCAGGCAGACCCACAGTAGGTTACTGTCTGTCAGGGGCTAGGGCAAGGAAGGAATGGGGAGTGGCTGCTAGTAGATATGGGGTGTTTTGAAGGCGAGGAAAATGTTCTAAAATGAGATTGTAGTGATGGTTGCTGGAACATACCTAAAACCATTGAATCCACCCTTTAAAAAGGTGGATTTTATGGTATGTAAAATATACCTTGGTGAAGCTGTTAATGTTATTTAGTGTTGATAAAGTTTAGAGATACTTTGAATGTAGCCAATTTTTTTCTGTCACAAAGCTTCAGGGAATCCACTTGTACATTTGTATCTATGCCCTAATCTTCCTGGTATTTCCATAAGATACAGCATTAAAAGTGGTCACAGGTAGTACATACCTCATGTTTATCCGGTAGCCAGTGATCAAAAGGAGAGCAGCATTTATTTAGCATGCTTAGGCATTTAGAGTGTCTTTCAAAATGAAACTTCATGATCGCAGCTTGCCAAGCCAGTGTTTACAACCCTATATGAAGAGAAAGTTGAATGACCCGGGTGCTTTGGCGGGTGGAGGGGAGAGTGAGTGACTAGAAAAGGGAAGGGTGGAGAAAACCGAATGAGCCACCAGTAAGAACCTCCTGCCTGCGTTTCCTGCTGTCAGTGTCTCCCCTCTGGGTTTGCAGAGAGCGTTTCCTCTTGGGATGAACCGCACTAATTTTCATTTTGTTGTTGCCCTGTTAGGCGAAGGCATCCTCATCTCATCCGATGCTGCAGAACTTCTGGATTTCATAGACAACCAGGGCCAGGTGCACGTGATCCAGAAATACCTCGAGCGCCCTCTGCTCCTGGAGCCCGGTCATCGCAAGTTTGACATTCGGTAATGCATCCAAGTCCTTTCTTTCACTCATCTAAAAAAAATGCAGTGGCGTGTTGTATGGTGAGGAGGGTGACAAGGAATGTTTTTAGTATGTTACCAAAATTGAGCACAGCTGAATGGAACTGAGCTTCTGTACCTAATTCTCCCTTTTTCTTTCAATATTTTTTCTTTTTTTTCTCCTCCTCCTCCTCCTTCTCCTTCTTCTCCTCCTTCTCCTCCTTCCTTCTTCTTCCTTCTTCCTCTCCTCCTCCCCCCTCTTTTATTTATTTTTTTACTTACTATTCTCTTTAATGAAAATGACTTGTGGATCTGAAAAGAAGGGTATAAATATACGGGCCTTACTTGTAGAAGAAGCAGAGAGATACACATGGAACACATAATTCAGACACAACAGATCATGTGACTCTGACAAAAATTACGTGTCCTGACCTTATTTGTGTCCCACTTTTTAAGGATTTCATAAACACACCCCAGGGTTTTGGACTTAACACTTTCTTAGCAAAGGGCCTGCTGAGAAGAAGAGGTGTGGTGCTTTGCAAAGCTGAATGGCCCTCAGCTCAGCCCACTCTTGGCCTTGCTGTTTACTCTTTAGAAAGGACTTGGTCTCTGCTGCCTTAATGTCAGGTCACTATTCTTTGTCAGACCAGCTGCAGGATGAACAGTCTTTTCTTACAATTACTTAAAATCACCAAGCATGGCAAATGAAGGTTTTATAGATTAACCTTTAAAACAAACCCATCAAATGTCTTTAAAATGCTCTCTTTTGAATGGATCAAAGTGACCTCGTTACTGTGGGGAAATTTTTTATTTGATCATTACAGTGGTAGTTCACCCTCTTAGCTAGTGGTCTCGGCTTGCTTGTGTACTGTTAGAACCTACCTTCTTCCTCTCCCCCCACCAGGAAAATCAGGGCGTGAAGATGATACATATATTTCTGATATGAAGGAACTTTGGAGGACTTCAGTAAAACTGCTTTTGTTGACTTGCAGAAGCTGGGTCCTGGTGGATCACCAGTATAATATCTACCTCTATCGAGAGGGTGTGCTACGGACTGCGTCAGAACCGTATCATGTTGATAATTTCCAAGACAAAACCTGCCATTTGACCAATCACTGCATTCAGAAGGAATATTCAAAGAACTACGGGAAGTATGAAGAAGGGAATGAAATGTTCTTTGAGGAGTTCAATCAGTACCTGGCAAGTGCTCTGAACATCACCCTGGAGAGCAGTATCTTACTACAAATCAAGCACATCATAAGGTATCTGAACTATATCTTTTTGGTTATGTGTGTCCTGAAGAAGCTTTGGGAGTTTGTACCTTTCAAGGAATTATTCCACTTAAGTTGTCTAATTTAAAGACAAAAATTATTTGTAATTTTTTAATCATCCTTTTGATGTTTGTAGGATCTCTAATGATGCCACTGCTTTCATTCCTTACACTGGTAATTTTTATCTTGTCTATTTTGCTTGGATGGATTAACTAAGTGTTTATCAATTTTATTAATCTTTTTAAAAAGTCAGCTTTTGGCTTGATTGATTTTTCTCTATTTTTTTTATTTCTTTGATTTATGCTATTTATTATTTCCTACTTTCTGTTTTTACGTGGTGTTTAATCTGTTCTTTTTCTGTTTTCCTTGTGAAAAGTTAAATCATTGATTTGAGAGACTTCATTTTTTAAAACCATAAGCACTTAATGCTATCAGTTTCTCTCTAAGTACTTGTTAGCCATTCCTCTAGGTTTTGCTATGTTGGGTTTTTATTTTCACTTTATTAAAATATTTTCTAGCTTCTCTTGTGACTTCATATTTGACTTATGTGTTATTAGAAGTTTTTGCTTAATTTTCAAATATTAGGGGATTTTTTTCCAGACATCTTTCATTAGTTTGTTTCATGTCTCAGATATGGTCCACCTTCGTGCATGTTCCATGTGCACTAGGAATAACATCTACTCTGCTCTACTTACGCAGAATGTGCTATAAACATGAATTTGGTGAGGGTGGATGCTAGTGTTGTTTAAGTCTTTTATATCCTTGCTGGTTTTCTGTTGTTCTTTATTATTGAGAAGTCTCCAAGTACAATGTGGGTTTCTCTAGGTCTCTTTTTAGTTTTATCAGTTTTTGTTTCATATATTTTGAAGATCTAATGTTGGTGCATATACATGTAGTTCTTTTTTGGGAAAGTGACCACTTTATCATCTGTCTTTACCCATGGTAATATTTCTTACTTCGGAGCTGGTTTTTCACTGTGAATATAGTCATTCCAGCTTTCCTTTGATCAGCAGCATTTCCTTTCCACCCTTTTACTTTGATTCCAGTGGGCTCCGGTCGACAACACAGAGTTGGGTTTGGTTTTGCTCTGAATCCAATATAATAATCTCTGTCTTTTAATTTGTGTTAATATCATTTAAATTTAATGTAATTATTGGTTTGGTTGGGTTTATATCTACCATTTTATTATTTGGTTTATTTGTTCCCTCTTTATTTATTTTTATTTGCTTTCATGTCTCCATTTCCTGACCTTTTTTGAATTATTTGAATTGTTTTAGAGTTCCATTTTAATTTTCCAGTTGAGTATTTGGCTATATCTATATCTATCTATCTATCTATCTAATTTTAGTAGTGATTCTAGGGATTAAAAAATATATGTATCTAGTATGTCACAGTCTTCTTAGACTTAATAATTCACCACTTCCAATAAGATGCAGAAATCTTATAACCTTGTAGTTCACTTGATTTTTCTGTATGTTATAGTTGCTATGTGTATTACATGCACACACATTGAAATCACTACCACATAACGTTGTAATTTTTGGTATCAACTGTTATACGCATTTTTTAATGTAGATAGTCAGGTTGGGTTTAAAAAAATACAAGGCTAACCTGTACGAAGTCTACAAGAAATGCATTTAGATTAAAATAAGAAAAAACATATTTTTTACCCAGTTATTTGCCATTGTCTCCGCTCTTCCTTTTGTCCTGAGGCTCCAGATTTCTCTCTGGTGTTGTTTCCCGGCAGACTCCGTCATGTGTTTTTAGAGCAGTTCTGCTTGTGATATGTCCTCTTAATTTTCCGTCTCCTGAATATGTCTTTATTTCACCTTATTCCTGAAGGGTGTTTTTACTGGACTTACACAAACATAATGTCAAACAAAAAAGTAAAAAAAGAAAAGCTGTGTACAAGATGTATACAGATTGATTCTATTCATATCAATTGAAAAAACAAGCAAAGCTTAGTCATACATCATTTAGAGGATGGCATCTACATGGTAAAAATGGAGAGGCAAAGGAGCAATAAACACAGAATCCAAAGCAGCAGTTATCTCCAGAGAACGGGCAGCAGGGACCCAGGAGGAGGCCTGGAGCTCCAGATGAGGGCGCCCAGATGGTCACCGACGCTCCGTGTGTTTTGGAGTCACGAGACATTTTTATATTAATATGTACAGTTAATATTCATTCGTATTTCCCCATATATTTTTAACCCTTCATGTTGCTTGCTTTTCATGCATGCATGTTCTCGCATTTGTCTAGGATCATTTTTCTCTTAAAAAATTCATTTTTAATGCTGTTTTATAAAGTTAGTTCTGTTGATGATGAATAATCTCATTTTTTATTTATCTGATATATTCACCTTGTCTTCATTTCTAAAGGACGTTTGCTCTGGAAATGGATCTCTAGACCAGCAGTGAATATTTTTTTAGCACTTTGAAGGCGGCACACACTATCTTCCAGCTTTTGTCTTTTCTGTTGAGACAGCAGCTGAAATCTCAGCGTTGCTCTTGATGATTCTTTTCTCTGTTTAAGATTCGTTTTTGTCAATTTTATAAATTTTACTATAAGATGTGTGTAGTTTTCCTTGCACACACTCCTGCATAGGTTTCATAGTGCTTCTGGAATCTGTGGCTGGGTATGTTTCGTCTGTTTTGGAATGTTCGTGGTCATCATCTTTTTAATTATGGCTTTTCTCCTATTTTCCTCTCCTTCTGCATGTATAAGTATGTGGATATTTATCCTTTCCACTGTGTCGCATTTCTCCTGTGGTTTTTGCGTGTCATTTTATCTCTTTCTTCACTTATTAAAACCTGTTTTAAAAATCTAAAAAGTAAAAAGCTCAAAGCTATTACAACCGCTGTTAAACTCAACTGTTAAGTGCTTGATTTCAGTCCTACTTTTCAGCTCTACAATTCCCATTTGACTCTTTATTTTTAGATGGCCGTTCTCTTTTGAAATTCTCCCACTTGTCTTGTATTTTCTTGGACACAGTAATTATAGTTCTTTAATATCATTGTTCTGACAGCTCCCAAATCTAGGTTACCTGTGGGCCAAATCTGGCCTGTAGCCTGTTTTTGTGTGACTATAAACCAAAAGTGGTTTTTACATTTTAAAAGTCTGTAAAATAAAAATAGAAGATGATCCAACAGAGACTATATATCTTGCAAAACCTAAAATAATTACTCTCTGGCCCTATGTAAAGAAATTTGACAGCCTTTGACTTAACTTTGTTACCTAGTGTCTGTTTTATCTCCTGATCATGTTTCTTAACATGCTTGAAAATAATTTTTTTAAATTTTTAAAAAATTTTTAAAATATTTGCTCTTTTTAAAATTTTATTTTTAGAGAGGGAAGGGAGGGAGATAGAGAGAGAGAGAAACATCAATGTGCAGTTGCTGGGGGTCATGGCCTGCAACCCAGGCATGTACCCTGACTGGGAATTGAACCTGCGACACTTTGGTTTGCAGCCCATGCTCAATCCACTGAGCTACGCCAGCCAGGGCTGCTTGGAAATAATTTTTAAGGTTATTATTCATCTATTGCAGCTTGCCAAATCCAGTGGGTTTTTTTTTAAACTGAGGTGTAACATGCATGCAGTAAAGTCCACAGATCTTAAATGTACAGCATAGTGAAACTTTAATGATGTGTATACTCACCTAATCATAACACAGACTAGAATATAAAACAGAGAACCACAAAAGACTCCCTGAACCACTTCAAAATACGTACTCCCTGGCAAAGACGGTTACTCTTTTGACTTTTATTACTATGGATTCCATTGCTTGTTCTTAAATGTTATGTAAAGGAAAGTATACTGTATTTCCATATATACTGTATATACTGTTTTGTGTTCAACTTTTTTCAATATTGTGATTATGGGGTTCATCCATATTGTTGCACAGTGGCAGTTTATCCCTTTTTCATTGCTATGTAATATTCCACTGTGTGAATGTTCCATGGTTTATTCCTCTGCAATTGATGGACCTCTGGGTTTTGTCTCCTTATTTCAGACCTGTGATGGATCTGCATTGCTGTGTGTCAGGTTTCCTGTTTATCACAAGGGTTTCTCATTGACATGGAGCTGCTTGTGCACAAGGCTGTCCTTTCCCCACTGCACGTCAGGTGCCCTTGTTCCACACCAGGTGGCTGTTTACGTGAGGCTCTGTTCCTGGGCCCTCCACCTGTCCTGTCAGTCTGTTCACCTGCTCTGCCATTGCATTACCACCATCATGAAGACTGAGCCTTTCTCCTTAAGTAGTTTTACATAGAGGCCAGCAGAATAATTACAAGGCTCAGAGTTCCATTTCTTCAGGGATTATAAATGGTTAGAATTCTGATACCAAATAAATCAAGTATGCTGAAGAAAGAATTCCTATTTTAGGCAAAACATTTGCTGGATATTCGCTACGCCCCCAGGTTCTGGTTCTATGCAGAGAGCATTGCTACCTTGGTGCTGGGGGCGCGCTCCCTGCTCCCAGGGTATTTACCCTGGCTACCGGCCCGAACTGCCCAGTCCAGCCGAACAAAGATTCCTGTATAAACTCCCAATGATGAAAAAACCTACTTTAAAGTGACTTATCAATCTTGAGCTTCCAGCAGATACAAGGTAATACTCAGCTTTGGTTTGGTCCTGGCTCTCAGTCTTTCCTCTTTGTGCCGGAGCATGCTGTGCCTTTTGCTCTTTGTCCTTTGGTGTGGTGGGCTTTTCTCTTTTTCTCATCCCTCCCTCTCTCTCTCTTTATGACGGGTATCTATTAAATATTTTTTCATAATTATAATGTTTTTCTTAAAAGAATGTACTATCCAATTTATAATGTTTTAATTAAAACAAAAGTTAAGGGTATTCTATAGCATATAGATAGGATATAGGAAAAAATGTGATATGTGGCTTGTCCCACTGCAGGTTAAGATGAATGGAAGGAGAAGTTCTTATTACAATTGGCCCTTAAATGGCTAACTGTCCAAAATACTACTACTACTACTAATAATAATAATAACAACCATAACAATAATAGTTATTATTATTTTAAAGATGTTATTTATTTATTTTTAGGGGAAAGGAGGGAGAAAGAAGTGGAGAGGAACATCAATGTGAGGGAGAAACATCGATCGGTTGCCTGTTTTATGTGCCGTGACCAGAAACTGAACCCACAACCCAGGCATATGCCCTGACCAGGAATTGAATTGGCAACCTTTCGCTTTTCAGGGTAATGCCAAACCAGCTGAGCCACACCAGTCAGGGCTCCAAAATTATTTTTAAAGGTTTAAATATGCATATATAAATATTCTCATTTGGGGGTAAAATAAATAAATAAAAGGAGCCCTGGCTGGGTGGCTCAGTTGGCTGGAATGTGGTCTCATGCACTAAAGGGTTGTGGGCTCCATCTCTGGGCAGGGTGCATGCCCCTGCTGTGGGTTTGATCCCTGGTCTGGATGTGTACAGGAGGCAACCAATGGAAGGATGTTTCTCTCTCTCTCTCTTCCCCTCCCTCCTTCCCTTCCTTTCTATCTAAAATCAATAAACATATCCTTGGGTGAAGAGTAAAAAATTCTAAAAATAAACAAAGGGCAATTGATATTTGGAGTGAGTGGAGTGGCAGGGAGAGCTTGGAGGAACAGGACGCTGGCCCCACGCTCACAGAGGCCTCGGGCCTCTGAAGTCCTGAGTCGAACCTGCTCCACGGACACGTCCTGGCCACTCACAGGGAAGCCTGCACGTTTTTCCTTCTAACTGTCCTGGTGAGTAGAAGGACAGCTCTCTCTGGTAACCGTAGGGTCATCATGACATATTTTATTACTAAGACAGGTATTTTCCCCAACATTCAGTTAGGGAGAAATCAGGGAAGCTCTTCATAAAACAGAAATGGCCTAAGTATTGCAGGATGGCTGTACTAGAGAACAGTGGTTTATCATAAGTTCCCTAGGGAAGCACCTCATTGACCCTCTCAGCACCAAGAGTAGGGTTATTTCACCCCCGACTTTATTGAAGTCAGAGCCGGGCTGCAGGAGGTTCAAACACTGACCAAGATTCTGGCCTCAGCAGGCTGACCTCTGACCTCACTTATTCACTATGTTTCTGAGATTCACTTTCAACTTTTATATTTTGTTCTTCAAATGCTTATGTATTATATTGAGTTTTCAATTTTTCTATGTCTTTCCATTTTTTCCAAGCAGTAGTTGATGTTAATAGTTATTCTATTTCAACATTTAGTTTCAATACATGTAGCTCTTCAATCTTTTAATTAGTAACAATTTGTCAATAGAAATGGAATAAGCAAAAGAAATGAATGAGGCTAATATTCTTTGTGCAAATTCTGCTCCTTGCTGATTAGTGATCCATTTCTTTTATGTGGAAAAGGACACGGAACTGTTTTATTTATTACAAACAAAATGTGGTAGTGCCGTCCTGTGGGAGGGACCCACGTTTACAGGGCAAGGGTGGCAGCGCCAAGCTGGGAAAGCAGCCTCTACTTGTGAAGTCCTGATTGGTGGCAGAGTCTTCTAATAAGATGCTTGATAAGGACAATTGTCTTGAGTAATCTACTGGCAATAACTGAGAGAAAGAATTAAGTCACAGCTGATTTGTGCCAGCACATTGGACGTGCAGTCATCCGGCCCACCTCCGGTGTCCCTCCTCCCTCACACCGTGCCCTCAGCTAGCTCTCCCCTCTGCCCTGCAGGAGCTGCCTCATGAGCGTGGAGCCCGCCATCAGCACCCGGCACCTCCCTTACCAGAGCTTCCAGCTGTTTGGCTTCGACTTCATGGTGGACGAGGAGCTGAAGGTCTGGCTCATCGAGGTCAATGGCGCCCCTGCTTGTGCTCAGTAAGCCGAACACCACTTGGTTGTAGCAAGTGGAAGTTGGTTCTGCAGTTGGAATGACTTGTCTCAACAAGGTGGTGCACTTGTGTGACCCTGGACCACTGTCAGGGAGGAGGTGACCGGACAGGAGTCCCTGGGGAGGACCTGCTGGCAGGGGCTTTGCTGAGGCCTTTCCTTTCCCACTTTCCTGAGTGTGTAGAGCAGTCAGACTACTTAGGTTGGTGGTCATTGCTGTGAGAGTTTCAAACAAAGCTAGTAACTGCCAGAGGAGATGCCCTTGGGCGACAAGTCGGGTGAGCAGGCTCCTGGAGCAGGGGAGATCGTGGTGAACAAGAAGGGCAGGGCTCCTTGGGCAGGAAGTGGTCTGAGAGGCATTGGAGATGCAGTGGAGCTGGAGCTGGAGCTGGGACGTGAGAGGAGCGGGGCAGGTTCCCAGGGGAGGGGGGAGGAGCCTTCAGGAAGGGGACACAGCATCTAGTGGGACCTTGCTCATTGCCAGGCTCCGTGAGGAGCACAGGTGAGCAGAACCTGCCTGCCCTTGGGGAGCCCCTGATCCTCCCAGGGAAGCCTGGCTGCTGCCGCACGGTGTCGGTGTAGAGGAGCAAGGAGCGGGGAATGGTCAGGTGAGTCAGGACTGCACCTCGGAAGGCCGTACGCCGAAGGGAAAGTCATTTGAACTTGACCCTTAAAGGCTGCTGATTCTTCTGAGATCCACTTTCATCTCTTTCTGCATGTCCCCTCCGGGAAACTTAAGAGGAAGCCACATAAAGGTGAGCGTTCCCAAGGAGGTCCACTGGAAGAGACAGGCAGGCACTGCCCGATTAATTACTATATGAATCATGTTGTTACAAGCCTGTAATCGAAACTAAATAGATTCTGTTTTAGGTGTATGATTTTGAGAGGGGAGGACTTCTGGACTGGAGGAGGGGCCGGGGCTTACAGTGAGACGGCCTGGAAAGCCATGAGGGGCCCGGGACACACAGAGAGGCAAGAGGCAGTTGATGTGCCAAGACCCAGTTTTAGTCACCACCCACGCTGCCTCACAGGCCTCCTGTCAATGTCCCCTATAAGTGGGAGGCTGAGTGGTTTGGAACATAGAAGCACCAGCCTTAGGGCAGTAAGAAGGAACTGGGGGTGGCCAGGATGGGGGAAGAGGTCCTGCGACGGGGAGGGTGACAACAGGAATCTGCCATTGCATTGGGAGGGTGGGAACCAGATTTCCAGTCTGCCTGGTGAAGACTGGAAAGCAGGACAATAAAACCTCAGTTTTGCAGAGAGGGGCAACCTGGGCATTGCCCTTGGCTCCAGCCACCTGGATTCCAACCGTGTCTGGAACACATCAGGTGGGTGGCCCAGAGCATGATCTAGATGATGTGGGTTTTCCCTCTGGGCCACACGTGTCTCATTTTACCCTTCGTTAGAATCAGTCCCGCAGGCAGCCTCATGCCGCGTGAGCTGCCCCAGGAAACAGGCAGAAAGCCTACAGGGATTAGTGGCCATGGGAGATGGAGGGCCTTGTTCCTATTCCAAAGACACTAGATGGGAAGTTTTCCTCCTTAGCCTTTCTGCTTTGGTGTTTCCATTGTCTGGACTAAGTCCAGACCCCTGGACGTGGCATCAGGACCCTATGTGGCCAGGCAAGGGCCTTGCCTGCAGCCTCAGCCTGCACCCATCCACTTCCCCAAACACCTGCCTTTCTCTCCTTCCTGCTTCTCCTCTCATTGTGCCTCCCTGTTCTCCCCTCCCCAGCTCACTCTCTCTCTGTCCCCCTCCTCCCTTCTTGGTTGTCTTTGTGTCTGTCTTTGCTCTCCTTCATTCTCTTTTCCGCCCTGCCCTCCATTCTCTGTCTGACTTTGTTCATTCCTGTGGCCTCAGCTTAGCTGTCACTCATAGGGAGTCTTTCCTAAAGTCCCCTCAACCACACGGAGTGAGTGCTTTTCATGGGGAGGCCTGCCCTTCCATGTGTCCCTGCTGCAGACACCAGGGCGGCCGACTGGAATTGCCAGTCATCCCTGCAGGTCATGTCGGAGAGGGAGTTCTCTGTCTGTTCGCCTGTGAGGCCTTCCAGAAACGTGGTAGGGGACGCTTCGTCTCCCCACGGGGTCTGTGGCACCTGCCCTGACAGCGGAAGCCAGTTGTATGAATGTGGTCATGGGATGGAATTTCTGCAGAAGATCCTGGTGAAAAAACTTTGGTTTTTTGCTTGTACTTTGATGAACTTCCTCAACAATATTTTTTTAAACATGTTCCAGGAAGCTCTACGCAGAACTATGCCAGGGTATCGTGGACATAGCCATATCGAGCGTCTTCCCGCCCCCTGATGCTGAGCCACAGCAGAGCCAGCCAGCTGCGTTCGTCAGGCTGTGACAAGGGAGAAGCATGGGGTCCTGCTCGGGGGGGGACAGATGTCCGATCACTCCACATGAAGTCAAAATGAGAAAGAGGCCGCTCACAAGGACGTGGTGGAGGAGAGAGTGTGAGAGCGAAGGTGATGCCCCAAGGGGCTCTCAGATGGAGCTCTCTGCACTACTGTTGAGATTTGAAAACTGCAGCACAATTCCCCAAGGGGAGAGCAGAATGTTCTTCTAAGGGGAAAATGCCGGGATTTGGTTGTTTTCTGTTTTCATCCTTCAGAGAGTTGGATTTCTATCCTAAGGCAGTGTTGTGGCAGCGCCTCTTCTCCCCGGGGACCCTGGACCTCTGCTTGGTGTCTCCATCTGCTGCAGCCTTCGTGCCTTAGCTCTGTGCCCAGCTGCAACCTCTGTCTGCGTGGGGATTGGATGCTAGAGCATTTGGGAGCTTGTCATGTGTCCCTGCTCGTCCCCCATGACAGTCTGCCTGTGAGATCTGGACAGGTGTGTACCAGCAGCCCACGGTTTCATGCCTTGCACTGCCTCTCAGGGCAGGGCGTTGTCCCCATCCTGTTCCTGATGGCACTGGGCTGGTCGCCTGCCAGGGTTGGTGTGGGCTGGGCGCCAACACACCACACACTGTTCTCAGCCTGCTCTCTGCATGTTTCAGAAGCCAAGCAGCAAGTTTGCCACAAACTCGTAAGCATCAAATAAGCATGAGAGAGGAAAAAATGATGTCTTGCTTTACTTCATAGTTGGGTGTCCTTGAAATATGGTGGATCTGTTATCTGTTTTAACCAGAATTCTTCATGCACTTTTGCAGAGTTCCCTGCTGTTCATTCTTTTTTGGTTTTCACTTACGTGAAAACCCCTCTACAGGGAAGGAGAAGATAGAACTCCCCTCCCCCGCAGGGGCACTGCCCCGACACAGGGTTCTCTGCATGCCCCTTCTGTGGGAAGTGGAGAGGCAGGTTTTGTTCCAGCGAGGAGTCTGTCTTGGGGAGAGGCTCTCAATGAGTGTCTGTCTCACCTGAATGAGAGTGTCAAAACAAGAAAGATGTAGTTTTAGAGTTTCACACAGCATCTCGTAGGTCAACAGATGTATCCTGTTAGATGTGGTTTTCACTTACTGGATCGAGGAATAGTATTCTGCAGACTTTTCACGAGGCCAGGTGGGAAGAACAAGATCCACTTGTGTTCAGTGAGTTGCGTGAATGGCCCTCCTTAGGGAGTGCTGGGATCACAGCAGATCCGTCGGCAAGGTGCGCCCTCCTCAGGGTGTGCTTGCTTCACGTACGTGGGTACTCCGTTAGGCATTCTACTTGCACACACAAAAAAAGCAGTTCTGCAGCTGGGAGATGTTTTTAAAAAGAGAAGAAAAAGCAACAGTTCCTAAAATCTGATGAGATGTGGGAGCTTACACATGGGCATAACATGTGAAGGCATGATGTCCGGTGAAGTAGAGAAAGGCCCAGCTGGGTTGGTTCGCATGGGTGAGGGTCTGGAATTACAAAATAAAGTCCTGGTGACCCAGGGTGCAGATTGTAATGTCGTGCGTCTGTGACTAAAGTCACTCCTGGAGGCCAGAGTAGCTGCTGGGCTGGTGTTTGGGGACTCAGCAGATCCTGGCCAGGCACACACCAGCGTAGAAAGCGTAGAGTACTGGGTCCGTAGGACGTCTGTGTGGGCTGGAAATGGGGAAAGCATGCAGGTTTTTGTATAGCACTCACCCACATGAACACAGATGTGCAATGATCTTTGAGACCTAAATTAATTACAGGAATGTTTGAGGGTTTTCCAGCTGCTCCAGTGACAGAACTAAGAATTCAGATGTTAGGAAGTCTGGGTCTTGATGAACTTGCTAGCAAACCTCAGTCAGTGGCATGTATGTGAAGGAAGTGAGGCTCTAAAAAGAAAGTGATACCTCATCCCTGACATCTTTTCAATAAATATCTATTTTATGTGTTTATATCCGATCGGGGTGGTCAGCTCAGAACTCTTCCATGCCCTTCCGGGCTCTCCTTGCACAGATGGTCCTGCCTCGCTGCCCAGTCGGTCTTCCTGCCTATGTCCGTATTCGTGTCGCCAGTTGCTGGGGAGGAGGTGTTATTCATTGGAGATGTCCTCTTCAGTCTTGGCTTTGTCATTGGCTGCTCAGGGTCAGATGAGCCGTAGCCTCTCTGTGCCTTAGTTTCTTATCTCACAGAAGAGATCATTGCCTGACCCGGGACTACCTCACAGGCTTTAGCGAGGACAAGTGAGATTAGGGAGACTCGAGAACCTGCAGTACCAAGGTTCCCAAAGCTGGCTGTGTACTGGAACCACTGGGAAGCTTCTCAGTGCTGGTGTCCACACTGTCCCCCTGACCCCACGAAGACTGAGTCAGAACCTCAGGCAGCAGTGTGCTTTGCAGTGACGTGAGAACGCTGCCATGAGTGCCCTCATAAAGGAAAATACGTTATTATTACCTTGGAAGAATCAAGGCCTAGGGCTTTTAAAAAATTCTTTTTGGAAGAATAGGCATTTCTTTAAGAATGACCAGGTGTTGACATGTGTTCATGCTATAAGCAAGTGCTGCCTAAGCAGGTTCTCTCTTTGCTTCTTGTCTAACATGCCCCCGTCTACTTAAACAGTTTGTGAAGCCTTGGCAACAAGTATAAACAGACAGGAATTTATAATTCTGCTAAGTATGCATTAAGGTTATTAATTAATTATTGAGAGAAAAGACGCTTTCCTCACACTTAACTCCTATGCTATTTAGAAACCTAGTTTCAACCAGAACATTCAAGTGCCTCTGTCTTTCTGGTGTGGTGGAGCAGGTGTCAGCACACTCACGGCCGATGCGGTGTTTCCCTAGCACCTTGGATGTTCGTCACAGACCCGGAGCATGTGGCATGCTGGAAAGGCATGGAGTCCACAGAACCCACAGGGCAGCGAAGCTACAAAGTGTGTTTACCAATTGAGGTCGTGTCAAGCAGGGTAGGTCCAGCCCTGCAGTGCATGTAGTGGGGACTCTGCTGGAGGAGACAAGGCCCCAGGGTGGTCCCCACAGCATGTGGGTGCTATAAAGGAAATTCAGTGATACACTTGTCTCATCCCGGACACAAACTCTGTACCTAAGAGGAAATGACTTCTCAAAGGAGATGACTTTATGAATGTTTAAAATGCCTGGAGCATTAAAGTAAAGTAATAGTATTTCAAATGCTTTTGTCCCCTTTGGCTCTTTCATCTTGTTGCTGTTGCCTGTCCTAGGATATCACTAGTTGGTTGAACCCATGACTCTGTTACCCAGAGGTAGGCAAACTGTCTGCAGAAGGCCAGATGGTAAATATTCTAAGCTCTGCAAGTAATAAAGGGGCTTTGGTGCATTTTCTCTTTTTCCTCCCAACTCTTAGGAAATATAGAAAACATTCTTAGCTCAAAAGCCATACAGAAATAGGCCAGATGTGGCCAACTCTGGCTGAAACCAGCATGCCATCCAATACATAAGCCAACAGATTTTCCCCATAACAGAGATGTACGCAGGTTTTGAAAACCTTCAACATATTGCTTAAGAATGCAAAGGCCACTCACATGTGGAGGACTGTGTGTGTGCCCAAGGGGGCCCAATTCCTCCAGCTTTCCCCTCTGTCTGGCCAGGAGGATCTTCACAAGCAAGAAGCGAAGACTAAGGCAGCACTGTAACCTGTTTCCTGAGCATGAAGGCATGCCACACACACACACACACACACACACACAGTCCCTTGGCAAAGATTAGGGGATTTATGGGTTCCAGGCACTTAAGGAAATCTCTATTAAATCAAATAACCACTAAGTTAACTGAGCAGAGACTTCAGTGGCCACAGACAACAAAGAATACAGGTTTTACAGGATTAGTAAGAGCTACAATAATAAATCCCAGAGAGGCAGGGGTATCTGGTTTCCAAAGTTGCCCTCTTATATTGCTAAAATTTTCCAGTTTTCAACACAAATTATGGGATATGCAAGGAGAAAAGAAAGTATGGCCTGTGGGGGAAAAGGCAGTCAATAGAAACGGCACCTGAGGAAGCCTGGGCATTGGAGTCATCTCACAAACACCCTCACTCAGCTATGTAAAATGTGTTCAAGGAGCTAAATGAGACAGAGAATGATGTGTCATCAAAGATAGAATATCATTAAAAATGATAGAAGTTGTTTTTTAAATAGAATGAGTAGAAATTTTGGCATCGAAAAGTACAGTGATACAAATGAAAAATTCAGTAGAGGTGCTCAAAAGTAGGTTTGAGCTGGCAAAAGAAGGAATCAGTGAACCTGAAGTCAATTGAGGTTATCCAGTCTGGAAAAGAAGGAGGAGCAGGAGGGGGAAGGGGAGGAGTTAGAGTAGGAGGAGAAGAAGAAAAACGAACAATGCTAGAAGAAGAAGGGGAAGAAGAAGAAAGAAGGAAGGAGAAGCATAAAAATGAACAGTGCTCCAGAGTCCAGAGACATGTATGCATACCAACATATATATAACAGGGGTCCTAGAACAGAAAGCGAAAGAAAACATTGGAACAAATAGTAGCCAAAAATTTACCCATTTTGATGAAAAACATTAAAAATGCATGCGACAAATTCAACAAACTAGGATATGCTCAAAGAGATCCACAGCAATACACATTAATCACTAAGAAATAACTTTAAATACATAGTAGTAGAAAAGGTATGGGAACTAAAATGTTACACCTGGAAATAAACAAAAGTGAAGGCAGTAATGAAGAAATGGAGAGATAAAGGCAAATAGAAACAAGTAGCAAAATGGCAGACAAATCATACTTTATCAGTAGTTTCATTAAATGTAAATGGATTAAACACTTTGGTCAAAACTTTAATCAGGCACAGATGGCAACCTGGCCAGTGTGGCTCGATGGGAGCATTGTCACACACACCAAAAGGTCACGGGTTTGATTTTTGGTTTGGGCACATACCTAGGTTGGGTGTTCAATCCCAGGTTGGAGCACTTATGGAAGGCAACTGATCAATGTTTCTCTCTCACATCAAAGTCTCTCACTGTCCCTCCCTTCATCTCCTTAAAAATGGAAGAATGTCCTTGGGTGGGGAAAAAAGGCACAGATGGCAAAATGGATTAAAAAAGAAAACCCAAACTACCATAATCCACTCTATGCAGTCCACTAAAGACGCATACGGGCAAACGTAAGAGGATGAAGAAAGATGTGCTGTGCAAATAGTTACTCAGGGAGGGCTTGAGTGGCCACACCAATATTAGACAAAATAGGCTTTAAGAAGCAAAGTTGTTACTACAGGCAAGAGACATTTTTTTTTATTTTTTCCTTTTTATTGAACTTATTGGGGTGACACTGGTTAACAAAATTATACCAGTTTCAGGTGCACAGTCCTACAACACACCTGTGCACTGTTTGTGTGTTCACCACCCCAAGTCATGTCTTTTGCATTCACTACTTCTCCCCCCATACCTTCCTCCACTTCCCTCCATCCTCCTCCCCACAGCAATCACCACACTTTTGCTTATGTCTATGAGTTTTTTCTCTTTTTCTTTTTTGCTCAATCACTCCACTACCAGCCCAACCCCCCAAGAGCTGTCAGTCTGCTCTCTAGGAATCTGTCACTACTTTACCTGTTAGTTCATTATGTTCTTTAGATTCCACATATGAGTAAAATAATGTGGTACTTGTCTTTCTCTGACTGGCTTATTTCACTTAGCATAATGCTCTCTGTGTCCATCCATGCAGTTGCAATGGGTAAGATTTCCTTTTTTATGGCCACAAAGGACACTTTTTAATAATAAAAGGATCAATCCTTCAGGAAGATATAACAATTATAAACACATGCAATAGAGCCACAAGATACATGAAGCAAAAACTGGCAAAATTGGAGAGGCAATTCAACAATGTTAGTTAAAACTTTCAATTCTCCATTTTCAACAGTGAATAGAACAGCTAGTCAGAAAATCAACAGGGAAATAGAAAACACTATAAACCAACTAGATATGACCAATATCTATAGAACTCTCCACCTAACAACAAAATATACATTTTTCTCAAGTTCACATGGAACATTCTCTGGAATAAACCATACACTAGACCACAAAACAAGCCTCAGTAAGTTAAAAATGTTTGAAATCACACTATATCTGTTCTCGGACCACAATCGAATAAATTAGAAATCATTAGAAGAAATTTGGGAAAATCACAAATATGTGGAAAATTAAAAGTACAGTTTTAAATAGTCAATGGACCAAAGAAATAAATCACAAGGGAAATTAGAAAGTACTTTGAGATAAATGAAAATAAAAACATACTAAAATTTATGGAATGCAGCTAAAGCTGTGCCTAAAGGGAATTTTATATCTTTAAATGGCTACTTTAAAAAAAGATCTCATGAGACTTCCAGCCAAGATGGAGGGGTAGGTAGCTATACTGTGCCTCCTTGCACAACTGAAAGAAGGACAACAAATTTAAGAACAAAAACAACCAGAACTGACAGAAGATCGAACTGTATGGAAGTCTGATAACCAAGGAGTTAAAGAAGAAACATTCATCCAGACCAGTAGGAGGGGAAGAGACGGGCAGCTGGGTTGGTGAGGACTTGTGGCAAGGTGGTAGCTAGAGAACCAAGGTGGGTGAGGCAGCGGCTAGCAGACCAGGCGGTCCCACATTTGTGTGTTGATAAACTGAGAGGAGCAACTAGGGAGCAAGACAGACTGCACAACCCAGGTTTCTGTGGAGGGGAAATAAAGCCTCAAAACCTCTGGCTGAAAAAAACCTGTGGGTGTTGTGGCAGCAGGAGAAACTCCCAGCCTCACAGGAGAGGTTGTTGGAGAGACCCACAGGGTCCTAGAATGTACACAAACTCACCCACCCAGGAATCAGCACCAGAAGGACCCAATTTGCTTATGAGTAGCAGGGGAAGTGACTGAAAGCCAGCCAAGAGCTGAGCAAGTGGCACTGTTCCCTCTTAGACCCCTCCCCCACATACAGCCACAAGGCAGTGATAGGGGTTGCCCCACCCAGATGAATACCTAAGGCTCTGTTCCTTACTATGTAACATGTGTGCCAAGACAAAAAAAAAAAAATGCCCAAATGAAAGAACAGATCAAAGCTCCAGAAAAAATGCAACTAAGCAATGAAGAGATAGCCAACCTATCAGATGCACAGTTCGAAACACTGATGATCAGGATGTTCACAGAATTGGTGGAGTATGGTCACAAAATAGAGGAAAAAGTGAAGGATATGAAAAGTGAATTAAAGGAAAATGCATAGGGAACCAACAGCGAAGGGAAGGAAACCAGGACTCAAATTAATGGTTTGGAGCAGAAGGAAGAAAGAAACATTGAACCAGAAAATAATGGAGAAACAAGAATTCAAAAAAATGAGGAGAGGCTTAGAAACCTCTGGAACAACTTTAAATGATCCAACATCCAAATCATAGGGGTGCCAGAAGTAGAAGAACAACAGCAAGAAATTGAAAACTTAATTGAAAAAATAATGAAGGAGAACTTCCCCAATCTGGCACAGGAAATAAACTTCTAGGAAATCAAGGAAGCTCAGAGAGTCCCAAAGAAGTTGGACCTAAGGAAGCACACACCAAGGCACATTATAGTTACATTACCCAAGATTAATGATAAGGAGAAAATCTTAAAAGCAGTAAGAGAAAAGGAAACAGTTACCTACAAAGGAGTTCCCATCAGACTGTCAGCTGATTTATCCAAAGAAACCTTACAGGCAAGAAGGGGCTGGAAAGAAGTATTCCAAGTCATGAAAGGCAAGGACCTCCATCCAAGATTACTCTATCCAGCAAAGCTTTCATTTAGAATGGAAGGGCAGATAAAGTGCTTCCCAGATAAGGTCAAGTTAAAGGAGTTCATCAACACCAAACCCTTATTATATGAAATGTTAAAGGGACTTACCTAAGAAAAAGAAGATGATCAAAAATATGAACTGTAAAATGACAACAAACTCACAATTATCAACAACTGAACCTAAAAAAAACAAAACTAAGCAAACAACTAGAACAGGAACAGAATCACAAAAATGGAGATCAGATGGAGGACTATCAGCGAGGAGGGGAAGAGAAAAGAATGGGGGGAAAGGTATGGGGAATAAGAAGCATAAATTAAGCACAAAATAGACAGGGGAAGGTTAAGAATAATATAGGAAATGTAGAAGCCAAAGAACTTATATGTATGACCCATGGGGATGAAGTAAG